CAGAGCCACTTCGGGACCGGGATGAAGTGGATGATTTCCTTCTGGAGTCCATGGTTTCAGAGAAAAGGCGCAATGTTTCTGGAAACCCAGCTGAAATAACTGTCAGCTGAGTGTCACTGCCGAAGTGGGGTTAGGGCTCCGAATGGTCGAATATTGTAGGTTAGGGGTTAGAAAAGTTTGTTGATATTTCAATTGTTGTCCATTTTTGACGGTTTTTGTTCATTATGTGCCTGCAGTGATAAATGTTGCGTAAAGTTTATAAGCCGTTTTGGCGATTTTATGCAATTTAACGGCTAAATCACGGGGACTTTTGGTAGTTCAGCGCCACAAAGGGTTGGTACTGGTTGTCAGTGGTTGCTGTCATCCGACGAGCCAGCCATTGAAAGAATGAAGTCCAAAACGTAAATAACTCATCATCAGTGATTTATTCCTTTATGTTTTATGTTAATTTGGTTGTTTTCCCCGAAAAGTGACTGTCTGAGGTGGTAGGTGCGTGCCATAGGAGCCCTAAATGCCCGAAAATGTCCAGGAACCGAATCGCAGCGAGAAATGTCGCAGACAATAAAATCGAAGTGAAAAGCAAGGTAACGCCTTTTTAAGACCGCTGGGGTATGGGGGCCCATTGGCGGGCGGCGCAAACGGCCCCATTTGCGGCAACTCGCCAATTTGGCTAGACGGCTGATGGATGTGGAAGTGAGCCAAAAAAGCATGCAGTTTAATTGCTGGTTCTGTTTCAGTTCGAAGCAGAGTTCCGGAGATTCTCCTTGGAGCGAACTGGCCAAGCCAAGTTCGAGGAGTTCAGTGCCTTGCTGGAAAAACTGCACAAGCTTAGGAACTTGGCGTTTTTAATCTCGTACATAGACCCAAGCGACCAGGATTTGCTGCCTATTAATAATGACGACAACCTCCGAAGAGCCCTAGTCAACGCCAAACCTCTACTCAGAGTCATCATACAGAGAAAAGGTGCTTTAACAGGTTTTTAAACCCATTTATCGGTTTGCAATCAAGTTCAAAATTATAAATAATATGTATCATACAACTACAATTACTACGAGAATCGGGGCGACAAAAGTAGAGCAATTACGAGGCGGAACTGAGCAATCAACTTTTGAATTACATTGTGTGGAAGATTGGTCCAAACATCACGAATTTTAGCTATCAAAGCTTGTTAATTTGCGTTCGAATGCGACGTCCCACTTCCTCCCAAATGTCAATAGGGTTTAGGTCTGGGGATTGTGCAGGACACTTATCAATTTTGACTCATCTCGCGATCTCTGACGAGGTGCTTCATGATGCTACAGAGGGAATAAAGATGAATGGAGAACTCATCAATAACATTAGATATGCGGACGACACTGCCATCATAGCTGACAGTCTTGAAGATATTCAGTCTATTACAGAAGGTGAACAATGTATCCGAGGAATTCGGACTAAATATATCAAAAACAACGTGGATGTGCATTAGTAAACAACGAATACCAATAGGAAGACTTACACTAAATCAAACACCCATACAACACGTTGAAAAATATACATATTTAGGGACAATTCTTCACAGTCAATGGGACATCCCCCTAGAAATTAAATCCAGGATTGAGAAGGCAAGAACAACTTTTGTTAGAATGAAAAACATTTAGCTGAAGAAACATCTCACTACTAAATTGCTACATATTCACAGTCTTGCTATACGGAGTAAAAGCATGGACCGTGTCAGAACAACTTATGAAAAAGATCTCGGCCTTTGAGACATGTGGGTATATCGGCGTGTTCTCCAAATATCCTGTAAGGTCACAAACGAAGAAATACTCAGAAGAATCGGCAAACAACAAGAAATCACATTCATGATAAAGAAAGTAAACTGGAATACTTTGGCCATCTGATGAGACACAACGAATATCGCCTTCAGCAACTTATCCTTCAGGGCAAGGTGGACGGTAGAAGAGGTCCAGGCAGAAGAAGAAACTCTTGGATGCATTAAATGCAAATTAGTCACAACAAGTAACAGACTTAAATTAAACAACTTTAGATTTCTATAGTAAATTTTTAATGTTAAAACCCTTTTGCTGAATGCACCAGACCTTCGTATTCCAACCCAGAAAAGAACATGAAATTTGATTTTTTTCTCTGATTCCAACTAAATGATAAACCCCAGTTCTTGATAGGATTTTTTTATCGGCAGCATGCATCCAACTTTAATGCGCGCAAACCTATCTTTGATAAAGCCCACATAAAAAATCTAAGAGCGTGAGATCGGATCAACGTGGAGGCCACACAACCACCACGTGCGGATCCATCTTCCTGGATAATTCGTGTTTCACATCATCGTGATCAATAAAATTCACAGCATTTACTCGATCTATTACTCTTCGATCTTTTTTACGTATTAATTTGCAATTAAAAAGTTGCTCAAAAAATTTCGAGAACTGGCTGTTAGCGACTTCGAACGAGAATACATTTCTTGCGTAAATATGAACGGAAAATAATTGTGTTTTAAAGCCAGGTTGATATGGGTAGGCAGAAAAAAGTTATTATTTATTAATTAAATATTTAAAAATTAATTTCACTCTGCATATTTCAAAACTTTGCTCTACTTTTGTCCGACAGTATGAGTCCGATCTCCACAAGTTTTCCTCCAAATCTCGTCCTTTTATCTCTTTTCTGTATTCTAGCTTTTCCTCCTCCTTAATTCCTTTTTTTCCTCCTCTATTCCAGGGCCTGTGGAAATTTTGTTTATTTCATTGACCAATTGCTCGCCTCTGTAAGCGTTCCTTTATTTAACTGCTTTGTCGAATGATCCGTCTAGCTGCCCATTTCCAATGCACATTTATTCTATTTTATCTTTCTGATTTTCAGTCCGTTTTCTGCAACTGTTCCAATTATTTTTCTACTTCGTTCTCTATTTTAGGCAGGTTGCCGGTTTATTCTGCACATTGCGGTTTTAGTTGATGATAAGATTGTCGCTCCATATTTTCCGTGGCGTTCCGGTACTTCTTGCCAGTGGTGATTTGTTCTCTGTTCTCCCTCTGTTCATTCTTCTCATGTGCTCATTTTGTTTGCGATTTCTGTTGAAAACCCGCCTCTTGATGTAACTTACTTACTGCGACTTGATTTCTACTTGAAGCGTCACTTAGTGCAATTCGTTTTCGGTTAGTGTGTGTTTTTGCAAACAATTATTGCTCCAGATAAAGTTTCTACAGGGTGGCGGATGAAACAATACAAAATTGGCCAAAGTTCAGCGTGTTGGCAGTTGAACAAAACACGATTTTTTGTATTTCAACACCACAAGCCTTAAAATATCGCAAAGCGTTATTGAATTTTTCGCTTATTTCGTCTGTTTACAGTGATCTTAAAAAATCAACTAAATCGCTTGAAGCAATGAGAATGTATTCAGTTCCAAAGTTGGGGCAGATTTTGGTGTTTAATCGTTCATTTTGTTGAGCAGTTTAGTTGAACGCTTTGGTCCGAAACCGATTTCGTCAAAGTTTTTCAAAACAATCACCAATTTTCCCAATAAAAATGTAATGTTTAGCTATTGGTCGACACTGGTGAAAGTTTAGCCGCCACTCAACTCTTTCAGCAAAAAACTATTTATTTACCAATTTAACCAGAAAAACATATTTCCACTGTTCATCCACACAATTCTTGCGCGTTTCACTGCAGTTGAAATGAAGTCTATTTAATCTTCTTAATTTGAGCCTCTCTTTGAGCGTCGTGCAAGCAACACTAAAAAGTCTTCTGAGTCTCCGTTGAACACTTTTCTAGATTCTTGAGCATCAAAGCCACTAATTTGCCATACATCTTCGATGATGCACATTTAACCTGATTGAGCTTGTAGGAACAAGTCGCGTTATTTGCGCCTTTGGAGTTTTGACACCAATTTTCTGAGAGCGGTTGTTCTAAAGCTTTTGTTAAGAGCGTTACTTGTGTAGTTTGAAGCCAAAATGAGCGCCTGAAGCGTCAACTGATCAAAAGTCTGCAGTAATCAAGAAAAGCTGTGTTGGTGCTATTAAAAAAGTTTTCTGCGCTTTTTTCTGCACGATTAAGGACCTTGAGCGTCACACAAAAAACTGGTTTTTAGGAACAAATTGCGTTGTCTGCTGCTGCAATTTGAAGGAACATTTCTGAGCAACCGCTTTTCTGATCTTTTTTATATAAGAAAACTGAAAATGTATCATTGATTGGTAGAAATGTTTTCAAATATACTACTTCTGAAGATTTAGTGGGGAATAAAGGCTGTTAATTGGTGTTTTCGAAGTGCAATTTTTGCGTAGTAAAAAACCTCGATCGCTCCAATTGTATTTGGCTTGAAAGTTACTTTTTTCGATAAATGTTCGAAGAAGAGAAATTTAATCTTGTGTTTAGTTACAAAACATATAAAATAAAAGAGCAAAATCCGAAAAAGTTTTGAGATATTTGGTTTATCTTTAAACTTATATGTTGAGATCCAAAAAAAAAACGCAACTTTCGAATTTGGCTGTGTAACGTTCATTTTCTTAATTTTTCATTAACTAATTCATTAATTGTCTTGCAGGTGACAGTTTAGAGGAGCTGAACGGCTACGGAACCATCAAGCCGCGCAACTTAATCTCGACAATCTTGGGGGGCACCCCAGCCCGAACCAAAATCCTCCCCATCTCAAATCCGCACGATTTCCGACAAGTGTCGGCCATCATCGATGTGGACATCGTGCCGGAGACGTGCCGAAGAGTTCGGCTGCTCAAGCATGGTTCCGACAAGCCGTTGGGGTTTTACATCAGGGATGGAACCAGTGTCAAGGTTACACAAAACGGTGCGGTTTGTTTTACGCCGTGCAAATCGACGCTAAGTCCACTTCTGTTGCAGGCTTAGAGAAAATACCAGGCGTGTTTATATCCAGGCTCGTGCCTGGCGGTCTGGCAGAGTCGACAGGCCTGCTAGCGGTCAACGATGAGGTGCTGGAAGTGAATGGAATCGAGGTGGCCGGGAAAACTCTGGATCAAGTACGTTGCCCAAACAAACAATTAAGCGGAAGTATTTTTTATTCGATTGGAAGCATCATAGGTTTGTTCTCATGGCAAGTTTACAACCGGTTCGTGACTGTTTCCAAACCAGTTTTAACGCGTAGATGCGTCACCAGGGTTCCGTTTTGGCTTGTTCTTGTTCATAGTTGATATTGGCGTAGAATACATATGGCCAATATTCAAAGCTTGCCACTTCTACGCTGTCTCTTGTGCTTAAATAGTCCATAAATTAAGTTTCATCGGCCTTGTCCGTTCTTCAATTAAACATTCTAAGTAGGTCTGTATAGGTAGCTGAATGACAAAATTCAGAAACTTCACGTTCTTCCGTCGATTCAAAATCACTCGTTCTGATTATTTATTTATTCATTTATTGACCACACGCCTTAAAATGGCATCCTTTTGCTTGAAGAAAATTTGTGTGAGAACAGTGGACCGTTACTTTGAAACCAATCAAATGTCTGTGCGAAAGCAATTTGCTTTATTGCGGACATTAGTTGTCAGGAATCGGTTTCTTGCGGCTGTGAGAACGAACCTCGTCAATTACTTTTACTTTTTCGCACGGACTATTCGCGAGTTCAACTACCGATGGTGGCGCTGCTAAACGTCAAATTACTAGTTGTCGAGTGTCAGTTGAGACTTGTTTATTTATTCGCGAGTTCAAAAGTCCAGGCGCCGCCTGGTGGCTAAAATTATAGCTACAAGTTAACTAGTAATTTGACACTTGTTTTGTTGGCATTGGTATCACATTGGTGTTTACATCTGATTGTGATTTGTTTTGTTCTATTCAACTTTTTGCAAGCTTTTAAAGAAATAGAAACCGGTCGAAAAGTGTGTAAGCATTGTTTTAAACATAAAACAATACACAATTTATAATAACAATAAATGGCATCAACTCCAATAAATAAACAAGTCTCAACTGTCACTAGACAACGAGTAATTTGACGTTTAGCAGCTCCACCATCGGTAGTTGAACTCGCGAACTAGAGTTGGTGACATTTATAACATAAAACAATACTTAAACACGTTTAGATCTGTTTCTATGTATTTCTTTAAAAGCTTGCAAAAAGTTGAATATATCAAAACAAATCACAATGAGATGTAAACGCCAAAGTGACACCAATGTCAACAGTACAAAGTGTCAAATTACTACATAACTTGTAGTTATAATTTTAGCCACCAGGAGGCGTCTGGACTTTTGAACTCGTGAATTAAGCCCACTGTGCGCAATAGTTAATGTGATAAATTGAACTTGCCACTCTCATTATATTTTTTCGTATTTTCATTAAAAAGGATCGACATTTTTAATTAATTACTTAGGTTTACCAACAACTGATCCAAATTTAAAGTTTACTTACAATTTGTAAATTGTGGCTTTGTTACCAATTCAGTCTGAAGTCTTTTTCTGCTTTCTCCAATGTTGCAACACACGCAAAACATCTTTTTAAATAGCGCAGATGTCATGCGAAACATGCAACTTATGCAATGAAAACAGCTGTTGGAAGGTTGGAAGTTGAAACCCACGCTTACGGCATCTTTACCTTCTGGTCGGGTTCAGCACATAGAATTTTCGACCCTCGTTGTTTCACTTCAATGTGCTTACAAAAACACGCTTTTGAAAAATTACAAACGTCAGAACGTGCCATTGACATCAAATTTAGAATATGAAATTTATGTCTTATTTTACGAACGTCTAATTACGGAAAAGGCTCCGTGCGCTGTTGCCGTGGTAGTGACAATATTTTACGTCATTTCTGTCAAGCATTTACCCATGTAGGGGAGCTGAACGGGTACGGAACCATCAAGCCGCGCAACTCAATCTCTTACCTTACCGTAAAAAACTCTTACTTCTATAGATGTGAATGAAAAATTATTATGTGATAAAGTTGTTTAATTTAATTTAAAATTGTTAAATCTAATTTTAAAATTAAAATATAAAACACACGGAAATGTTAAAATTTGACCGTCTTGATTTTTCATAATTTCCTCATTTCAAAAATATATATTTCGCCTATATTTGCATGAACCGTTTTTCCTATATTACGTTTTAAAAATTATAAATAGCGACAAATCAAAGTAGCATTGAAATTCAACAAGGCGCTTTCTCCACCCCATAACGTTCGCCCCGTAGCACTTTTTTTAAATAAAATTGTTGAAATTTTGATTGGACGAGCGTGTCCCTAAACAATGGCCTCCAAATAGCCCCGACCTAGTTAGACTCTAGTTAGACGCTTTCAAATAGTGGATGCAATTAACCATATTAATCAATACCATTATATTCAAAACGTTATGGATAAAATTGACGTAGATTAAAGAGTAACGGAGGTCAGACACAAAGTCAGTGATTTTCATTATTTTGTTTTTATTTATTTATTGGTTTTGACATTTATAGTAGCAATAAATTACGTAATGTGCTCTTTCTATAGTTTTTTGTTTCATTTGAGGCCAATTTGATTTGCTGTTAATTAAATTTTTTCAATTATAATACAGAAAAGATAACTAATACAAAGTTAGGCAATATATATGTATATTTCTGAAATCAGGAAATTCCAATCGACCTATCCAAAAATATATACGGTGTTTCATAAAAAAAGATTGTCATATTTTGACATTTCCGTGTTTAATATTTTAATTTTAAATTCATATTTAAAAATGTTTAGTAAAATTAAACAACTTATGAGGAAACACCCTGTACGGGTGTTTCCCCTATCTAAAAATATCTAAAATATTCCTCCTCCAAAACGGGAAATAAATTCGATAATGATCGGTTATTTTTCTTTGGAATCCCAAACATCAGCAAATAGCTTGACAGAAATGACGGAAAAAGAACAGAAAATTGACGTCAACTGTTACCACAACACGGCAAGAGCGCTCGGATCCCTTTCCGTAATTAGACGTTCGTTTTGATTTTTGGCCATGCGCGAGTTCCAGTCCAGCGCCCCCTGGCAGCTTAATTATAACTACACTTTAACTAGTCAAATTTGACACTGGAAACTTATTTTGATTAGATGTCATTGGGACTTGATTTCTTTAGTTCTACTCAGCTTCTGCAAGCCTTTAAATATATTGAAAAGTGTCTAAGTATTGGTAGTTGAACTCACGAGTTCTTATTACTCGTTTTGTCTTTCATCCGAATAAAAAATCTTGTTTGACACGACTTTAATGCACGATTTTCTTGACCAGGTGACTGATATGATGATAGCGAACAGCAGCAACTTGATTATAACAGTGAAACCGGCCAATCAGCGAACGGTGGGGCCGGTGCGCAGAGGCAGCTTCAGCAGGAACTCGCACATGTCGAGCGGGTCGCAGCAGTCGCAAACAACGGCGGGCTCCGATCCCGAGGACAAATTCGATCAGGACGAAATCGTCGACTTGACCGCCAACATCAACCTGGAGACGGCGAACAGCAACGGGGGTGGCACTGACGATGGCATTTTGCACTTGTAAACCGCCCCCAACCCTAAGGCAGCTCCTGCTTGGAGCAATGAAATTTTACAATCAAACTTTTGTGATCAAAATTTTAACCTTTCCCAGGTCAGTATCACTCTTTCTACTTACGTTTTTTTTTATTGCGCTACTGCCTAACTGAACTGAATCCGTGTACTTAAAGACTTGTTCTCTACATTCCATATTCTGTGTATTCCAGATTATTTTTCTTATATAGTGTGTAGTCGTGGGGCAGGATCGAGGAAACGGCTGCCCAGACGGGCAGTCGTTTCAATTATCGTAACTGCAATGCAAAGGATTTTCAAAGTGGTGACAGTTCGCGCAAAGAGAGTTAGTTAGAGAGCAAAGTAACAATTTTTTTCCTGATCCTGAGTTGAGTTTTTTGCACAACGTCACCAACTTATAAGCAATGAATTGCACAATTCATTTTTGCTTCTAAATTGTTCGCCGGCAGGAATTCAGCACTGCAAAATTTTGACCAGTCAGCTCACTGCATAAGGAGCTTTTTTGGTTTCTACTGATTTTTCTGGATGGTTTAAGAGTAAGTAAATAAAATAGTGCTTTGCCCGCTGTCAAGTCGCAGCTTTGAGAGGCGCGACAAGAGTACAATTTTTTTACTCAGAAGTCGTTAATTTTAGCAAAACACGCAAGGAACCAAACAGTTTCGCAACGAATTTGGCTTTCTACGGAACGCACAATAACCAACATTTAAGGAACGTTGAGTTACTTGTGAGGTTTTCAGACAAAGTTGCGAATCGCCATTCATTTTTGCTTCTTCAGAGTAGGCTTTCAATGGCTTTATAGGAATTATTGGAGGTTGTTGGTAAGGGTGCCAGAATATAGGGACAATAGTTTGCGTGCAACGATTTTTTTGGAGAAAATTAGCTGGGCTCCAGAACGTCGTAGAGCTTAACGTTTGCATAGAAATCGTAGCAATTGATGAGGAAATTTTAGCTGAAAATAATTTATTCTTTAACTTTTAACATAAAAAATTCCTGATTTTCAAACCAATGTTTAAACTCTTTGCGAGTAAAATAGACCCTTGGAGAACCCTGTCCGACGTCTCAAAAAAAGTTATAGCACGATTTTTTAGAAGCAAAACTAAATTATTCATAGTCTGATAAAACTAAATTAGTTTTAGAAAATTTAAAAAACGCTCAAATCGACAGATTTTTGTTTTTTTGGGTAAGCAAATGAACGGCATTTAATTTAATTGGTCTCATTTTGTGGGAATTGTAGGCAAAGTTATGCGCAAATAGCGGTTTTTGGCACTTTCTTAGATTATTTGAACAGTGAGCTACAGCCGGAAATCGCGCGGAAACTACTATCCTTATATTCTGACTTCTGTCCGAACAACTTCCAATCATATTTTACCGTCTCCCATTTAGGGCCAGGAAAAATCTAATCTGACTACAAATATGTCTTCAAGAGAGCTCGATTAACACAGACACTTTTTGGTTTCCATTTTTTGTTACAGCAAAAAACTAAAATAGTGACATTCAAAGCACTTTGAGACTTCCTTTGCATGCAACCCTGAAAGGCTGAAGCCCGTGAAACTTCCCTGTTTAAGTTGGGGCCTTGTAGAACCTCTTACAGCTCAAGCAAAGAGAGTTGAGGGCCGATTTCGGTTGGGGTTTTGTTGTGTTTTTACTCTTTCCATCCGAAATGGGCCTTCCATTCACCGATCAGCAGTGCAACCGGTCGGCACTCGGTCGCGTGGAACACGCAAATTTTAGCATGTTAAGCATATTGTTAAGTCTAAAGTGGCAGTGTTATCATATTTATTCTTGTGTTAATTACCATTTTAGTGTATTTTTATCGAATTTTACACAATTTTCGTGATATTTATCAATTTTATTTACGGTCTATCATGCACTTAAATCAGTACTTAATTAATCAATTCTACTCTAAGCAGTGTACATATTTTTGTAATTTTAGTTTTCAGTACCTTCCTACATGCATTCCCACAGTTCAAACCCGGTTTTCCCTTACATTATCACTGCTCGCTCCGTCCTAAAATTGGCCTTAAAAAATCCGAAGTATTAAATTGTTAAGAGGTACATGTCAAATGCAATCGTTTATATACATAGAGTTGCATCACATATAGAAATATATATATTTCAAGTTACTGTCTAAAACATTTCACTTTTTCTGGTCGTCGGCCGGCTGTTTCACAAAGTAGCCCCAAGGGGCGAACTGTTGGCCCCCGTCCTCCTCGGTCGGGCCCCTGAACACCTTAATCTGCACTCGACCTGCAACACCAACCGTTTTAATTTGAAGGAAACTGGGCAGAATGGTGCGTGCCTGGCCTGGCTGGTTCGTAGGCGTCTTGAGGCTGCGCCCATATCAAGGCGGCGCACATTAGCAGAATCTGAAACTCCCCCAAATTTTTTAAAATACAGGCTCGTTCAGACGGTGACATCGATGTCATGACACTAGGTGTTCACACTCGCCAACATATTTTGTCGCGACAGACTCTCGTGTCCTCCAAGTGAAAGAAAATATCGCGCTAAAGATTGACAGTCTTTAAGAAATGTCAAAATGTCACCGAGACATCGGCAGTGTCATGATGTCGCGAGTTCTACTACTGATGGTGGCGCTGCGAAACGTCAAAATACTCGTTGTCGAGTGACAGTTGAGAGTTGTCAGACTTGCTATTGATTGAGATTTATTGGAGTTGATGACATTTATAACTTCATTGTATATACTTTCCTGAAATCCTATATACTTGGCATGCATTTCAGAAAATGCATGCCAAGGCTTAAAGCAGCAACAACGCTACACATAAAAACTGATGATGGTGGAAAAACACACCGAAACGTATTTTGATTAATAAATAGAGACAATAAATCACTGAAACCCAGGAATAGATTTGATTTGACATTTATAACATAAAACAATACTTACACACTTTTCAAACTGTTTCTTTAAAAGCTTGCAAAAGTTGATTAGAGCAAAACAAATTACAATCAGATGTAAACACCAATGTCAACAAAACAAGTATCAAATTACTACAACTTGTAGTTAAAATTGTCGTCACCAGGTGGCGTGTGAACTTCTCGCGAATATCAAACAATTTTGATATGTGACACTAACGTCACGACATTATGACATTGGGACACTCGGGTGTTCAGACAATGACATTGTTGTGAAATTGACGTCACGACATTAATGTCACCGTCTGAACGCGCTTTAAAGCTCACTGCGACGCTAAGATGCGAATATTTACCTGCAAAGTTAACATGATTGGTACTGAGCAAAAGCACCACTGGTTCCAACTATTTATAGCTTGTGCAAAAAAACCCGTTAAGAGAAATGGTCTCGCTTCCATTGAGAGTGCGGTTTGAGCGAGTGAAAGCGTTACCACCGAAATAACGAAGGCGCGCCGGCATAGGTCAACATTTTTTTACGCGAACATAGAGAAGAATTAGAGCGAATATCAAGATTTTTTAC